ATAGGTGTGTCTGAGTAGGAGAGAGCACAGGATCCTTAGAACTTGGTACTGTCCTTGATTTGAGGCATCCACTGAGAGTCTTGCCTCTCTCAGATCCATGGGAACTCTGCATTCGGATGCCATCTCAGTTACTAAATACAGTCGTTGGACAGCACTGGGCATGTTAACTAGCCCTCTTGAATTTCTGAAGTTATTACATGAGTGTTGGACCCAACTATGTCTTAGATACAATCAGATTTCAGGTTCTTTGAGGTTAGCTGAACAATCATTCATAGTGTGACTTCAAGGCTGTCCTATGCTGGGCCTTCATATGAATAAGGAAAAGGCAAACCTTTTGGACAGACAATTTACAAAATAGTGCCGCTTAAGAATGGATTCATCCAAGGGCCACGAAACTTGGTTAGTAGAGGCTACTGTTGGGTGCACATGATACTTCTCCTTTGAGAGGACCAAGCCCTCCATCTCTAACATGATGTATTACTCACTCCGCAGCACACCACCCTGCTCAGTTCACAATGTTCGCAGCTATGCATGGCAGTCCTGTGATTATTCTGAGAGCTGCAATGTTGCTGCTGGGCTAAGTAAAGTGAGAGCCCTGATTCTAAGGAGCTGGAACCATTGTTAGAGAGTCAGAGAAACTCAGTTTCACTCATCTAAATAGTCTAGACTAGTAATGGAGGAGGACTGATTGTTGTCAATAGAAACACAGGGGGGATGATGTAAGCTAGATAGAACAAAAAATTATTTTCAGCGGGGTAAGTTGGGCCGACAATAATTATCCTTACCACTGGTTGTTTTCTGCAAGCAGGCTGGTATTTTAGTTTCCTGCTTGATTATTATTGAGTAAACACGTTCTTTTTATGCTTTTTAAAGCTCCCAGCTGATGTCATTTTAAGTTTTATATGTCCAACTGTTGTCTGCAGACTTACCACTAAAATCTTTCATATTGATCTTTTAGTTTTGAGCTGTTTGATCATATAGTTTCCCCAAATGGATGTGACAACCTTCTGATGCTTTTAACAGAGAAATGCTTTGATTTGTCAAAAAAATTGTTTTGTTGATAGATATTGAGTAACAAAGAAAAGAAGCGAAAGATCAGCTTCTAAATATGCTGTGCCCCAATGCGCCTTGCTGGTTGGCTACATGACTAGTGTCACTTAATTACTTCAAAGATGCCATCTGGAAATAGTGGAGTCCTCTGTCAAGGGCAGAGAAGAGAGAGTGAGCTCAAGGGCAACTGGAAGGTGCAATGAGACTGAACATGGGGGGTTTTGAGACAGGGACCATCCATCCAGCCTCATCTCTCTAACTGGGACTATGTACTCTACAAGGCTCAGGAGCTCCTGTGGGAGACTTTGAGGACATGCTGGTGTCTCAAAAGGACTCAGAGAATGTCCCCAGGGGAGCTGGAGAGGCAGGGACAGGACATTATACTCAATTCCCTCATCCTTCTTTTGCCTCCCTCCAAATCCCTGGTTTCAGGTGCTAACCAGGGGCCTGTAGAGAGTCCCATGCAATAACCCAGAAATAGCATGACTTGGGGGGTATGGAGCCAGGCACAGGGATGACAGCAGTCGTGGAAGTGAGTAATGAGAAGCTGCTAAAGGGTCTCTGGACAGCACAGGGAAAAAGAGTATAGTGTGTCTGCTGTCCTCTTTCTTCCATTTGAACCCTTCCCATCTCAAACCTGCTCCTAGGACAGGGCCCGATTCCAGTCCAGTGTGTGTTAGACACATTTCAGTCCATGAAACTGCCCTCTCTCAATTCCCAAAATGTGTGCCTTGTGATAATTTGGTGAAAAGCTCTCTAAATAGAATAAATAAAATAGCTTGTAGAACTAGCACCCTCAGGGGTGGCATGTTTGGAAGGGATGGGATATTGCAATGTGGTTGTAATTCCAAGGGATGTGTTATGACCCCAGAGCTGTGTCTCAGGCCTTCCTGAGGGCTAAGTATGCTGCTGCAGTTGAGGTGAAGAGATGTGTCTGAAATGCATGCAGATTCTCCATTAGGTCTTTTGCTGGCCCCAGTTCCAGCTGGTAGATTAGGGATATGCTGGCCAACCTGCTTTTGCCTGTTGTTCAAAGTAGAAAGAATCTTGGAATCACACTCTTCTTCCCACAGCCCTAAGCCAATTTCCACAATTTCCCAATGGCCTTATTTGCCAAGGAGACTTTAGGGGGAAGAAACTAGAATCCTCTGAATAATTTGCTATCTGTTTAGATTGCCTCCTGGGGTTCCTTCCCCACTTTCAGGTTGCCAGAGTGACCTCTAATGAGTGCTGAAAACTTTCAAGGTCATCTGGGAGGGCTTGGCCCTTCCGCAGTTTCCTCCATTATGTCCTCCCAAGACCACTCACTGCTGCATGGCTCTGGGTCAGGGCTTAATTTTGGCCTTCTCTTGCAGATGACACAGCTGGTTCTGAGACACATGGAATCAAGGTAAGATCTTTCTTTGATAGTCTTGTGCAACATGGCCTTCTGCTCTGGCAGTTAGCTAACTAGGGGGCTGCTGGGGGGCATGGCCCATCCAGCTGCTGCCTTAACCAGTGATAACAACCAGAATGAAAGTACATGGAGCTTAAGGGTGAGAAAACATACTGTTCTGGGCCCAGACAGCTCTTCAAACAAATTCGTGTATTTGAAGGTCAAGGGTAACACACACTGGAAGGAAGAAGGAATGAGCAGTTTCAGCACATATTGGTTTACAAAAAATTACCTCATAAGAATAAAAGAAGCAAGCTGGCCAGAGACAAAGATCATGTGTTTTTTATGAATTTCAGTCTTTGTCAGAATGAACACCCCAAATGATCAGATTCTTCATTTATTCCATGTTTATGTGTACCACCTTATTATAAGCCCAGTGTAGGAGTCAGGTGGTTGTCATTAACAACAAATGGTTAGTAGTTTTTAGCTTCTCTAGAGTAATAAAGGACTTGCTTAGCTTTGCATTTGAAGTTCCTCACCCCTCCCCTTCCCTTCAAACATCTAACTGGGAAAGATTAAAGATACTATCTTTCAAAAAGACAAGGAAGGCCCCAGGGCGCTTGTCTGTTTGAGCAACCAATGGGTTATCAGACTCCACCTAAGAAGGGGACATCTGTCCTCCTGTAGTCATCTTTGTGTGTCCTAAGGGACTTGCAGCTTATTTAAAACAGGAGCCCCCTCCCCCTTGGTATCTTGCCTGAGCTGAGTTGGCCATCTGGATTTTGGCAGCAAGACTTTTGATCTAGCAGGGTCTGTGTTCTGGTGGGGAGAACTTTGTTCTAGCAGAACCTCCATTCCCAGTAACAAACCCTCAATGTCACATGCCTGCCAGCTACATCACTATGAGGTGTGCTCCTGGAGAACTTAGAGGAAGTTTCACCACCGTTTGTGGACACAAAGCACTTAGTACCATGAGTGCCTAGAGAAGCCAGCGTGTGAGGATGTACACAAGTCCCTTTGGTGGCTTTCTGCCCAAGGTGGAATCAGGCAGCAAAGCAATGGGATCTTTGTTTCTTTGCTTTTTAGAGGAAAAGGTCTCATCTTGAACATTTCTTCAGGGGCAGCCCTCTGTCCTTGGCCTCTGTTCTCTTTGTACTCAGCTTCCAAGGTGAGTGATAAACCATCGAGTTTCTTCATTCTTTCTCTAGTTTCTCCTGAGCAGCATTGTCCTTTGGACCACAGTGACAGCTGATGTATAGGCTGGCCTGGAGGCAGTTTTATGAAACAGAGCTAGCCAATGGAGGATCTGAATGCAAGTTAGAACAAAGTGCCCATCTGATGCCCCCCTCTCTATACCTCAACATAAAAACAGCCTTAGAGATAGCAGTACCTTACAAGAAAGAGCTTTCTTGTAGACTAAGCCACATGCAGTGGCTGTAGACATGTATTGATTTTAAGATTATATTTCTTCTGATCCAGGGTTCTCTGCCAGACTAGAGAATGGAGACAAACTGCTGCTTTTCCCTTACTTTCTCATCCCCTACCCAGCTTTATTAAGGTATAACTGACACATAAAATATATACATATTTATGGTACATCCTGATGTTTTGATAGATGAATACATTGCGGAATGATTACGTCAAGTTAATAATCATCATACCCTTGACCTCACATTTAAAATTTTTTTTTCGTTGTGAGAGCATTTAAGATCTACACTCTTAGCAACTTCAGAGTATACCATATCCAGTCATCATGCTGAGCAATAGAACTCCAGAATATCTCCCTCCTGCATAATCAAAATTCTGTTCTCTGATCTATGTCTCCTCTAAGTCAACCACATCTTTGTGGTATCCTTTGCAATCTGAGTCAGGTAGCTCTAGGACCTGAGCTATTTCTCTGTCTCACTCCAGGCTTTTGTGCGCACATTTTCCAAGGCTCTGCAAGCAGAATATAGAGAAAAAGGCATCATTATCCAGGTGAGATGCACAGATGTGGGTCCTTGGGGGTGGGACCTTGAGACATATGCGGACCTGTGCCCCTGCCTCCCGCAGGACTGGTTGCATGTGTGCATCCAATAGAGAGACAAGCTGGTGGTGATCTGTGGGCTCTTGTGATGCTGCTCTGGAAGCTGAAGTCAGCATAATCCTATTGTTTCTGCTGCCCTCACTCTCAGCACCCCCGTTGTGAGAGAGGAAAGAGACAGATTATGGTTGATCTGAAGTGCCACAGACCCTCTTGTTATGCAATGATGGCCCAAGACAGAAACTGGGATCTTGTCTGGCTATCTTTTTCCCTCTGACCCAAATACAGAAGATGGGCTTATGTGAGAGGAATTGTAGGAAAGGAACAAAAGAAAACTGGGAACTTGGTCTGTGTTGGAACTAGGGGAGGAGTCTCCTCTAGAGGGCTGTGACCCCTACACTCTGGTTCTTGGGCAGTGAGAGAAGGGTTGCTCCCTGTATGGAGATCACCTGGCTACACCTGAACAGACCTGGCTTGTCACCACTGCCATCTGTAGGCTGAACAGTGAGTCCTGAGCATCAGTGATTTATATGTGCTTTGTTCAGCCACAAAGAGCTCCACAGTTTCTGGAATCCAGAATTAACATTATACAGAAGAGTTGTGTTGTGTTGTTTTGTTTTTGTTGTCTGAGAAGTTTTATGGCATGCTATTAAAAATTAAAAAGACATACTCAAAAGTGTATCTTTAAAGTTACTGCTGAACAAAGTGAGTTTCAATGAAAATGTCTAGGTGAGAATATCTTAGGTGGTTGTTACTATAATCTACCAGCTTGGCAAATAACCAAGTGTGCATAAATGGTAAGGATTTGGCCAAAGCCATCATTTTCTCAGTCACATAGTAAGTGTTATGGCTTATGTCTAGATGTCCCCAAAAGCTTGAGGCCCTTTTAGAGGTGGCTAAAAGTAGAGTGTGTGATTGATTCATAGTACTGTGCTAGGGCTAGGGGTGCTAGGACTAAGTGTGAGTGATAAATAAAACAATCTACTGATTGGTTTGGTACCTTCTAATCCCAGGTTCTGTCCCAAAATAAAGAACAGAAAAAGGCTTGTAGCTTGCTTTGCTGCCTTCTGCTTGCCATGAGCTGCTTCTCTTCTGTGATGATTGTGTGCCATGCTACTCTGTCTAGTAACCAGCCAAAGGCGGACTCAAAACCTCTACAAACTGTCAACCAAATAAACCTTCCCACATTTTACCCTTGGGTGTGGAGTATTTTTTCTTAGCCATGACAGAAGGTAACCAAGATAGGGAGTGATTGCAACTGCCATGTTACTGTGCCTTGGTTGATTTTCCTGCCCTGCTGAGCCAGTCCCACCAAGATGCTCACTGTGACTGGCAGAAGGCATGAACTCATTGCTCCGTTTTTGGTTATATGAACTAGGAGCAATCTTCTAAGATAGGGTTAAGTATAGAGCATGAAGTTAAATTTGAATTTCAGACAAATATGAATAATTTTTAGGAAAAGTATATCCCTTGCAATACTGGGGCTGTAATTAATTATGCCCTTTTGGTTGGAACTTCATCTCTGAGTGTCCTCACTTTGTATTTCCTGGTAGAGCTCGTGTCAGTCACCCGTGTGCTGGGCAGGGTTTCAGAGTCCCTGATTCTGTGTGGTTAAGGTTTCATCTTGAGAAATCAAACTTTCTGATCCTCACCTCAGTTCCATTTTAGGCAACAAGATCCTTCACATTTTTACAGGAAGAAAAGTATAGGTAGATAGAGGGATGATAAAAAGGCCGCTGGTTTCTCAGTGTCTTTGCTGGGACATATCCCTTCTGTGTCATGGTCTGTGTTTTTCATTGTAGGTACTGACACCATTTGCTGTTTCAACCTCAATGACAAATCATCTAGATACCAGCATGACAATCAAAAGCGCTGATGGATTTGTTAAAGAATCATTGAATTACGTCATGGCTGGAGATGAAGCCTGTGGTTCCCTTGCCCATGAAATCCTGGTAATCATTACTTCTTTTCCTGCAGAGAGTGGGGAGGGTGGGTAGATAGCCCCTGACAGGGTTGCTAGCTCTTTCTTGGTTTTGGAACACTCAGTGGCTTTGTCTAACAACAAAGATGTGAAGTACAAGGACAGGCTACCCAGGCATAAGATAGCCAGTGTAAAGGAGTATGTGGCTAAGCTGGAGGGCAGAGTACTTGGCCCACAGATAGCCATGCACTCCTTGGCTCTCCTCTTCTCTCCTTAGATTGAAAAGTGCCTCCCAGGAGCACTTGGGTAAATACAAAGGCATCTAGAGTTGCCACATGGAGGCTGCCATCTTCCTTGACTCTCCACTCCAGTAAATGTTTATCAACCTTGCAGGGAAAGAAAAGATAAAGTCACTTCGCTTTGTAGAATTTGTTGATTTTCTTGGAGGAATTCCCAAGATGGTGTCACTTCCCAGGAATAGAGAAAGAGCCCTTAAGAAAGAGCAAGCATACCCTGAACTCCACTGAGTATGGAAACAAGGTCCAAGGGTGTGTGGCCTGAGAAGCCCTTACCACCCTGGAGTGCTCAGGGCAGACCTGAGCATCACACAGAACGTGGACTCACACACACATGTCCATGCAGTGCAATGTCCAGAACTTTAGATGGATCTTCTTCATGTACTTATCACGCCAACTGTCTCTGCTGTGTCAGAAGCCTGTCTACTGTAAGAATTACTTTTAGTCTCTCTTCCTGTCCCCCTTCCATAGATGCTGGTCAGATCTATTTCTTGATTCAGTTTGCTCTCTCATCCCCAGAGGCTTGTAAAGACTTTGAGAAGAGACACTGGACTTTCTTACCACAATCACTTGTTACTTTTACTGCAGAATCTCACCAATGTACAGTGCTGCCCACTCCATGTGCACTACAAAGTGGACATACGGAAAGAGCATAAGATCCCTGGCTTTCCTTCTCAGATCTGGCCTTTCTCCAGATCACTATTTTCTGCAAGAAAACCAATAGAGTGTGCAGTGGTCACTTCTAGGAAATGTACCCTCTTTGTCATGTGGACAAAATGTCCAGGGTATCCAGGAGTTTCTTCTCTCCCTCTCCCTCTGATGACTGGGGCGGGGGGGAAGAGTCCCTCCCATGATGTGTGCTCGTCCTAATGTGTGTGTCCTCTGATGTCCTTCACCTTCATCCATCAGGTGGCTGCTCACCTGGCCAAAATGCATGTCGATGGATGGTCAGGGTATTGAGCCTGCCCTTTAGCTTCCCCCATAGACTTCCAGGCTAGGGTCTCCCTGGTTCCTGAGAGCTGCAGACCCCCAATGTTCTATGATATCCTCTGTCCAAGTCTGCTGCCCACTTGTAGCTGTGGTTCATGAGGCCCTCTGGCTCTCATTTTACCATGGTTGCTGGTGTACACCTGAGGGAAGCTGGGAAAACCACATCTCAACACCTGTGTCACCAGGCTGGATAACTTTCTGTGGTTGCACCCCAGGAGAAAAGAAGGTGTACCCTCTCCTTGGTCTTCAGGGTCACACATACTCATCGTGATTCCCTATTGCCTCCCTAGGTCTTCCAACCCCAAGGGTAAGTCCAGAGGTCACACATTGCAGAGGATACCTCCTAACAACCTCTTCCTTTTTTCCCTTCCACACCCTGTCTTCTCTCATGCAGAAAAAGTAGAGACTTTCTGTACACAGTGTCTCCATCTGTCCTTCTCCAAGGATAGCTACTTCCTATGTGGGTAGTTATCTCTACCTTCTAAAGAACTCTCTGACCTAGTCCTCCAGGATGTTGAGGTCCTAAATGGAATCTGTCACATCTGGAAAATGTGTCTTTGAGACAATAAATAGCCTGGCTTACCAGTTTATTGCTAAATTTTGCTCCATATTCAAATTCTACCATGTCAAGAGTTGAATGTTTTCTTCACTTTTCCCTGATTTTTTAGCTAACAAATTCTAATTGCTTCAGTTAAACAGATGCCAAAAACAGGCTAAGAGAAAACATTTTTGTGTATGGTGACGTAAGATAGAAAGGAAAATTAGTTAATCATTAAGACCAATTTGGAACTTGATAAGATTTAGAAAGATCATTGAATCTATAGGGAAGGATAATCACATAAAATCAACTGGCTAACAGCAACCTTTCTGTTCCAAAGGGGCAAGATAATGATGTTGTCCTCTCTGTCCAAAGGAGCTGTGGGGGTAGGAGTGAGAAAGAATTGAGCTTCTGCCTATGGAGTCCATGTTGTATGTGGAGGCTTTATATGTGCTTCCTTGCTTAACTATTCTAAGAATAGCTCAAGGTTAGATTTTATAGGCTTGCTTTACAATCAAGAAAATAATGGAGCTGAGAGCTGAGTCAGACAGATGAAGGCCACCCATCTGGCTATGGTAAAGCTGAGATTTCGATCTATAGTGCTTCTGTCTGATTCCACAGCCTTTCTGATTGCCTTCTTCATGATTGTTTTGGTTCTGATGGAGTTGGACAGAACAAGAAGGAAAGAGGGATTCTTTTTATGGCATTTTATTTATTTTTTTGGCGAAACCGGGGATTGAACTCAGATCCTTGCGTTTGCCAGTCAAGCAGTTATCCTACTGAGCCATCTCCCTGGCCCCTAACCATCTCCCCGGCCCCCTTTTTTATGGCATTTTAAAGGGGGCTGGAATTCATATTTATATGCACATTTGTGGTTATATTTGTATTCACATTCATATTTTATGGCTGATCTCACTAAGCCAAAACATTTAGTTCAAGACAAAAACCAATAAAAACCTTGATTTTATTGCGAAATTAAAAAAAAAAAAACTACTTGGGAGAAAGTTCTAGAGGAAGAAATTGTGTTGACGTGTTGACATAGCTAGTGGGAGAAGAGTTTAGCTATGGTTCCCAGAAGCAATCTTCAGTCCGTTGCCTTAGAGTATCTCAGACGATTGGAGCTACCTGAAGAATTAGGACTAGCTCCCTGAGGAACTCAAATCCTCTAGCCAAAATCCTGTTCTACAGACAGCAGGTAGACTAAGGAGTGTTGGCTTAACCAGAGCATGGTGTGGTTGAAATGATGATTTCTAGGATCTCAGACTCTTTTAGAACTCCAGGTCTGGGCCTACAACCTGAGATGCATTTCATTAGAACTTCATGCCCGAATCTAAGTCTTCCCTTCCTAGTAAAAGTGAATCTTGCACTTTTTAGCATTTCACATCCTTCTGTGAATGACTTTCATTCATGCATTCACTTAAGTGGCTTAGGCCCACCATCCTTCATTGGGCTGGGGGATGGAAAATTTTTCTGATTCTGACCTGGAATCTTGTCTAAACAGAACCTTGGCAGAATGAGCATGAAGATAGCTGGGAAATGGAGCAGCAGGAAAAGCACATGTTCCTTGAAAGAAAGGGGTAGTGGGAGCAGACAGCACAGATGGAGTTTTCTTTTTAGAGGTGATTCTGCCAAGGTGACCACGGGGAGTCTTAAAAAGATTGTGCTGGTGCTGAGAAAGCCTGGCCAGCTGAGATAGGGTCGCAACGTCCGTCAGCTCCAGCAGCTGTACACTGAATGATTTGGAGACTTCACTAACTAATAATTCTTAAAGACTGTGAACATAAACTGAGGTGTTTGGTTACAATTTCTTCATTCAACTTTTCTTCTGTTAAAGGGACAGTTTCTGAACCTGATCCCATCTTGGATCTTCTACAGTCAGACCTTCCAACGCCTCCTCCTGAAGTGCTACAGAGATAATTAAAGGAAGACCCTCAAGGTCACCTAACGTGGGTGATGTACTGGAGGCCCAGCATCATCTCTTTTGCTGGCCTTCTTCGTGGGCTGATGAGGGCCAGAGGCGCTGACCGAACCCTTCATCTCACTGAAGCTGGAGGTGGCCAATGTCACAGACATAGGACAAACAATGAACACTTTTTTGTGCCTTTATTCAAGTCTGGAGATTTTTGGGAAAGCTGTGGTGTGCAAACATGTTGTGCAGTGGATTTTAGGGTTCCACATGTGAGAAGAGGGCATCTGTGGGAAACCCTGGAAGGATTTCTGTTGGGAGCTTATTAAATAAATGTGGTGAGCAGAATTCTTTTTTTTTCCCATAATTTTATTGATAAACAAATAGCAATGAGACAGTTTCATATCAAATTGGTAGGACAGTTTCAATAATTAATACATTGCATACATTCCTCCCAGTGGTTAATTGCTGTACAAGATGCAGACATGATATCCTATCTACAAACACCATTAGAACAAATCACTCTATTCATTAAGAGAATGTAACTATTTATCTATCCTAACCACTTTGAATATACGGATACAAAATGGACATTCATCTGTATCCCCTTTTTTGCTAAGTTCCGTTATTTGAATATTAAAGGTGTGTTAACTCAGCAAAATATTCTAAAAGAGTCCAGTAGTCCATAGTCGTATTGGGTCTTCCGCTTCACTGGCAATGTCAGAAATTGTTGACCTGAGTCCCCTACAGCTCAACATAACAGCATGGCTTTACTTCTT